TTGTAACTACAATGTGCTACAACATGCTGGTCTCCCTCAGTTCCTAGCTATTGAAGCTATTCTTAACTAACAATGATTAAGAAAATCCAGAGCTACCTGGCAGAATTCTCTAAAATTGGAAATGACACAATACATTAAAGAACAAAAAATTAAAAAGAAGGGATGATCGTCAATAGGCTGCAAGGCAGTCTGAGTGTAATTCCGTTTAGTTAGGATGTCTAATATAACTTTGCAATTTCTCATAGTCTTTTTACAAGTCAAAAGGTTCAGAAATCAGTTAGGCCTCCAGAAGAGCATTTTCCTGGAACTGGTTTAAGGCTTAAAAGATATCCATAATTTACAACATTTGCTTATATTTTATAAGCGATGTATCAGTTTTACTTCTCAGAGTCCTATTTTGTTTCTCCTGCAGACATGCTTCAGATTCATTCCGATTTTCACTTTCATGAATATGATCCCATGCCAATTCCAGCTGCTATCATATGATAACTCTTAAAGAGACTTAATCTTTCATTTTTGGCAGACATTTATACTCAGCTACTCACACACCCTCTGAGAACAAGTCCTAAGGATTTATGTTGTCAAATCAAATGCATCTAATGGAACGGGAAACTTCCCACTTGGAACTGCACAATTACAGTACATTAATATAACTAATTCTTGATATTCACATGCCACTTTTAAAAAATGTATTTTTACTGTGGGCTTTTTGATGTATGCACGATAAAATTACATAAGTGAATGAAAACAATTGCAGGCTATGTTATTCAAGGAGGAAACAAAACATGAGAAAGAGCAGTACTTTAAGTAACATTTTAAAGAAAAGAAGTATCTAATACCGCTTGTGTCCTGGCGATCTACAAAGCTGCATCAGTTCACAAAAAAATATTGATTTCTTGCATAAAATAACATTTATGCATGATTACCTGATTTATTTGCCCAAATTCTTTTTAAAGAAATATGCAAGTTCAATAAGCCGGTACACTCATATTTTTGCAGATGCTTTCTTGATGCTACCATGTGATACGTATGTTACTTAGGCAAAAATCCCTCAAAATGCTTATTGTATGCTCTGTGCGTGAAACTTACAGAAGACATAATAATTAGTCAAGAAAAAAGACTTATATTCCATCTTTAGTATATTTAAGCGTCTAATTAAAACTTCTTGTTAATCAAAAGAACAAAATTATAGCACACCAAAGGTACTTAAATTAGTAATTTTAATGTAACTAACGGTACTCTAAAGCACTTCATATTTGACAAATTGTAATATCTATACCAGCTGTGTGTTTGTTCACCATATGGCATTGCATTAATTCCTAATAACTTTCCTAGATTGGTCTTCTGCTTTTCAAGGAGGAATTATCTTCTTCTATGAATTCGGTAAGGCTAAGGAAGTGAATGACTGTCTTTTCAGTTAAGAAATACATATTCTACCTATGAAAAATAACATATTTTCAGATATTTAGCTAATATGGATTCTGAAGTTTCAAATATTAGATACAAGATTATCAGAATGGCTAACTTCCACTGCAATTATTTTCTCCCTCTTTTAAAATCAGTATTAAAACTTACTTTATCATGATTCAAATCTTTACAAATTTGATTTGTAAAGTATTGTACAATGTAATTCTAAGTATAGTTACATTAGGAAAAAATTTCAAAGTTAGAAACAAGACTATGGTTACCTTTTTATATCAAAGTACTTTGATACTTGTTGCTATTCAGAATTCAACATTTATACAAATCTGAAAAGCAATGTAACTTTGAGAAGTCATTTAGTCCTTTCTCCCAAGCCAAGTTGGCATTAAATATACTTAAAATCCCCTGCATACAACTATATCTGACATATTCTTTAAAACTTCTACTCCTGTACCTAAAAATTCTTTACTCCAGAAAGTTTTGCCAATGTCCAACCATCAGTCTCCCTTTACTCAGTTACATTTTAGAGAATTCTGATCATTTTTAATGCTTGCTGCTGTCCTCTTTTCATTGGTCCACACCTTTCTTGAAATTTCATTTCCATAGCGGAGAAAATCAGGGGTGGTCACTTTATGTAGCATTAGGCATCTAAGGTGGAAGACTGGATCCCTGATTTAATCAGTTTTATGTGGCAGTCTCCTACAGACAGTGATCCATGGTCAAAGCTAATAAATGCTGTGACACTGTTTAAAGAATACTTTTATACAACTGTAAAATACCCACCTGGTTACATAGGAACCACTAGGAGATTAGCTTCCTAAAATAAGCCTCTAATTTAAGCAGTGTGAATACTCTGCATAACTCTAGTGAAAGCCTTACTAATTTTACTATAAATAAGGGATTCATTTATGCACATTACATGATACTCATGTCTATGCACACACCTGTGTATCTCCAGCAATTTTTAGCAATTATACATACATATAGTACGCAGTAACAGGTGATAAATTATTAATAAATATTATATGTGTATTTATTCTCATACAGCTGCAATATTTACTTGTTGAAGCAATATGATATTATGACCCATATGCTGCTGCGATCCATCATAAACATGTTTCTGAAGACATAATGCCAATCCTGTCTTTCTGCTTCTCAAACTTTGGTAGGTGATTGTTCCAACCTACATCTAGTACTTCACTGTAGTCCATAATGAGCTGTGTATAATTTTTTTCTAATCATTTATGTAGTTTCTCTTCATAATTCTAATTCTGGCATCCCAACTGATTCCAGATTCCCTCCCAATATGTTATTATTTGCATATTTAATAAATGTAGCCTTTTGTCCATGAACCATGTCTTAATGAAAATAGACAGTAGTAGCAGACCCCTGGAGAACTCCATCCGTTTTAAGTAATGATGGGTTATTTTCATCACAGTAGTTTCCAGTCAACTGTGTATTCACAGTGGCTTAATCAAACCCACTGAAAATAGTAAGCAGTCTGAAGGCATCTGTGGAACTATAAATCATTACAAAGTTTTAGAAAATTTTGAGAGCTAGCAGTGTAAGTAATGCAAGAAGTTTCAGATGCCGAGCTAGAACATTTCTGTAGCTATGCTATGCTAACAGAATGCAACAGAGTGCAAGAAGAGCTATTCAAGTCACAATATGACACATTTCACTTGTTTGACAATGTAATTGTCGGTTATTATGAATATCACTTTACTGCATTGCTAAATGCTTACAACTAGATTGGTTATTTATTCCAACATTTTTCTGTGAATTAGAGTTAATCTGGATAGTTTATACACCTTAGATCTTCTCTTTTTCTGTGTTTTAAATAGGGGTATTAAGTGGTTGGCTTTCTGTCTTCTAGAACTACACAGTTTTTAATGAACTCTCAAAGGTAATCACAAAGTGATCTAGGATCCCACCACTAGGATCCACAGGGATTCCTAGGTATTCTAGAGGGAATTTCATCAGACTCATGCAGTTTGAAATAGATAATCTAAGTAGTTTCAAACTGTTACTCATTCTAACCCAAATATTTACCATGATATTAAGTGCTAGGCATCTGATCACAACCAATTTTGTTTAGAAAAGACTGCAAAATGAAATTAAGCCATTTGGCATTCTCTACTGTTTAGAGTTCCTCTCTCCTGAGTAACGGGGTCAAAATCCCATCTTGGCTTTCCTCTTAATACTAGTATATTTAAAGAACAGCTTTCTTTTCACTCTTTAGGTTCCTAACTAGTCATACTAAATATTGGATATTGATGTTTTGTGCTTATACATGTTCCTATTGTCATACTAAATATTTTAATGAGCTGATCTAGTCTGCACTTTGTAAAACATTGATTTTGAATTTGCAGTCATTGAAGAATTCACAATTTCCTAAAGTTACCCTCTGTCCTCATAGGAATAATTCATTCCTATGTTCATTTAAAGAATGGCAAATCTTTTGTTTCCCCATTAGATTGCAAAAGATCTTAACTCTATTTAATCTGAATATATTGAAATCTTTTTCTAAAAGTTATCTTGTGTTTCTAAGTATCATAATCTCTACTGTTTTGTGATCTCTAAATCTGGAAGTTTTCTAAACTCATTGCATAGTCCAGTTATCCTTATCAATGCAGTTTAAGACTTAGTTGGGATCTCTACGTCTTATTATATGATCATCTCAGTAGTACCTGAACATCTCTTGTTAATACCATGTCCCACTTATCCTGACCTGACATTTTATTAACCATGTAATTTCTCAGTTTTTATGAGTTTCTACCACAGACCACCTGGATATCACACTCAAGTATTTTGTCTTTATCATTGCTCACAAATATTGCACACTTCTCTCTGGACCTTACTGTAAGCATCAGCAGCCCTGACTGACAAAGTAAACATCCATCCTGTATCCCACACCCAAGTGTTCTCTGTGGAAAAAATGTACTCTTCGCTATCACTAGGATGCTGTAAATGATGCCACAAAGCTGCTCTTATGTTGATTTACACATTTTTCAGAGTATATACTAATATTTTCCTTCCTTTAAGGTATTCATTATACTTATTGCTTTAGTATTCAGACCTCATATATATTAAGCACAATGACCCATTACTTTGTCCTTGCCTTCTCATATATTTTTCTGTATGTTTTGGTCTTTATCCATTTGCTCAGGGTTGAAAGCAGGTATAGGGTTAGTTAGAGTCTTCATCAATCCTAGGTACAAGTCTTTCTCATTTGCTTAACAAATATGTAATGAAGATACTACTGATTGTATATTGAATCACTGCAATTCTGAAATCTGTCTTTTATCAAATGGTAATCAAGTGGGGAGTCTTAATATTTACCATGAGATAGATTTTCATCAGATTTTTCATGTAAATTCCCAATTTAATTAAAGCATATTGAAATACGGAAAAAATCTTGTTAAAGAAAATAGTTTATGGTAGTATCATTCTTATTTAGAAAGTCAGGACATAAAACTTCACGTATTTACAAAACATTATTTTAATACAATTAGCTATCGAACAGTAGATAGATATGAAACAAAAAAATCACTAAAAGTATAAGAATTCTTCTTTACCTTTACACACAGGTCTATGATCACTCCATGCAGCAAAAACTTCAGCTATCCTTTGACAGGTGATACTTTTTGAACCTTGTAGCACATAATCTTCATCACAGGAAAACTGTACTGTTGCTCCCAAGCTAAAATCAAATGATGAAATAAATAAAAAATAAGCTTTTTTAATAAATACATATCCATCAATTTTTCCATCCTTTTAGGTATCGTAGTTTTGACAAATGATATGAATTTGTATCCTAGTAATATAATTTTTTGTTTCTATTAGGAAAAGACCACAAGCTATGTCTGACCTGACAGTGCAGGGTCTCAGGTCCTATCTGGACTTGCTTTAGCCAGAGCTGGTTTATCTTGTTTTAAGAGTTGTCTGGTGGTAAAGTGACTATTTTCTGACCAGTCTGAATCTAACCTCTGACTACTACATATGGTAAATATCTGACAAACCTGGGTAGTGACTGCATTACAAACAACAGGGTGTTTATTTATCTTAACTGAGGCTAGGAACCAATGAGAAAGAGATTGTGATAAGAAAATCACGTATAAGAAGAGCCACAGGCAGACCACAAGGCTGAAGAAGAAATCCCCACCATGAACATTATACTTCTCCCAGTGAAGAGCTCAGGATGCAAACAGTTTGCTGTAGATGTCTCTCACTCCTTCTTCTTCTTGAAGAAGACTGGTGCTCTTGACCATAGGACCCAGAGGGACATTGGAAGGGGGGGCACAACATCAGAAAAAAGGGATAGATATTAACAAGGTTTCTTGTATAACAATTTTGTGGGTATTATTAAGACTTTTCTGTACCAATTTGTATAAGGAACGTTAGTGTAATGGTCTAGTATTAGCTATTTGTTATATTTGGATCAGAAAATTAAGATTTTAATTAAGCTACCAGTAAATTCTTGTCTTCATATATTTGATGAGTTTCCTCTTACCACTAGCAGGATTTTGAGGGTAAAAACTGTTAGACAATGGAAGTTCACAGTGAATATGAACATTTGCTTCTTTAACAGGCGTATGTTTCTCAAATTAATGAAGGAAAATAAAAGAATTTTAAAAACATTTTTCTGGGTATTTGGCTGTGATTATTTATAAAGTGCTAAGGCAGGCTTCAAAAGATTTTATACCTTTCCATATGGAGTTGACATTTGGTGTTGCAAATTTGGCACAGAACAAAACAGGAAAAAAGACCAGAAAAGCCTATTTTATTTGTTTGGTCTGTTTTTTTTGAGAGGAGGGTTGTATATCGTTTTTTTTAGGAAAGTTAAAATATACAATATGTAAATGTATATTAATGAGATAATTCTTCTGGTCCTTAAGTATCATTGTTGTTCCAAGTCTTGGTTACAGTTGAAAATAGTTAATAATATATCCAGCATTTCTATGAGTTCAGTATCTTAAACTCCATAATCTCCGCTTTCTTTTTTTTTTAAAGGCTTACCTTTCAAAGTTGTAAAGGAAGTTTAGAAACTATGACTCTGCATAACCTATAACATCATTGAGAGAGCACTTGTTTGCTTTAGAAGGTGCTAAATGACCACTACTATGTATTTGAACTAAATAATAGTTTTATTTTTTATCTAATTTATCATATAAGACTGATGAGGAAGAATCACAGATCTGTAGATTTTAGTATATTATCTCATGCTTGTGCCAAAAATGACTGGCGTTTGGAAAATACCACTCTTTTCCCCTCCAAACAAGGAAGTGAAAGACTTAACCAGAGAGGTTATTCCAGAAACTCCAAAAAAAAAGTCAAATAAAATAAAAAGTCGTATTTTGAGAATCTGCTGTATAGTGGCAATGCATTTTGCAGTGAAGAATATTTTGTAAGTGGAATTTGGAAGACTATCATCACTTTTATTGCCCGAACAGTGGGGCTGATACAGCTTCATGGTTTGGTATTGAAAATATGAGATGAAATTTGGCAGAAATATTATAAAACATGATTTACCAAATTCCAGCCTAACTACATTAAAAAAAGGCAGTTATGTAAGTAAAACTAACATTTTACTGTAAGAAATACAATAGAGTACAATATTCTGAAAAGTTTTGCAGTAGGAATTGTCATAAAAGTGGAAAAACAGAAATTCCTTTCAATGCTTTTCCTTCATTATTCTTATTTTCAAATGGCCTAATATTAACTAATGTTTCCTTTGCATGTAATATTTGACAAACATAAATTAAGTAATTAATTGTACTTCCTAATCTAGGCACTAGACCTAGTCTAATCCTACAGTTGTTTTTCAGTGTATTGCAATAGGACACAAAGACCCTAAACATAGCTGTGCCAGTGTTCTGTGAAAATAAAACAAGAAAGCAATCTCTTTCTACAGAAAGTATGAAGAGCTGATATAAAAGCAAACAGTTCAGTGCACTAAATTATTTTAATAGTATTCATCACTGTACTTTTATTATCATTTCCCTGTGATTTTATGTATACATATATATATATATGTATACGAGGCTCTTTAATATCAATTTAGAAATGTGAATACCTCAAAACTGTATAATATTTGATCTTCTGCATGAATTCTGCTACACCTGAACAGAAAAAGTTTGATTATTTAGATTATAATTTCTGCAGAAATGGAATTATGTTTTTATATTGCTACAGTAACTTGAAAAATATTTCCTCTTAATTTGGCCATCAAATAGTGGCATGGCATTTCATTTTAACTCATATATATTGAAATATCAGATCACAGACCCACTGATTTCCAAGGACATGTCTCCCTAAATTTGCAGTCAGAAGCTGAAATAACTGTATTTTCTGGGATAACGCTCACAAAATGTGCTTTCCAATTCTTCCATATTCTAGTCAAAATACAAGATGCCTTCTGTTTCAAAAAGCATTTCTTGTATAAAAAATTAGCTACCAGATCTTAGCATCAGATCTTTACTTAAATTTTTGTGTAATTCATACCTTCTGCAAGGATCTTAGATGCTTTCCGAACTGCATTTACCTTGGTAAATCTTTTCATATTCTGATGCCTTCAACGTGGCATTAAAGACTCCGGTACATTGTGCGTGCAGCTCTCTGGGTATTCTAACATTCAACGTGGAGTTGCTCCCACAGATATTATATGTTCTAGCCTATATTATAGCAATTTTCCTGTGTGACCTTGTAAATCACAGAGTTATCTGACTCTCCTCAGGTGCATGCCACAGATCTCTATCATATTTTCCAGATTCTGCTACCTATTTTAAAAAACTGAAGGAGGATGTTTTGCAAATCTCTGTAAGCAAAGCTTCCATATCGGTATAGTCTTTCATTTACCTAAATAAAGTATTTACGTTAAAAAGATTTATTTATTTAAATAAATTATTTCTTTTATATCTCTGAAACTGTCACTTGTGCAAAGAGGTTAGGAGAAGTCTAAGGATATCACTCTGTTGATTTGACTGTTATCCTCAAATCTAGGTTTGACACCACCAGCTACAGAACGCTTACTGACTAAAATACATGCTAAAATTCATTTATCTCTGTAGGATTTGGCTTGAAAAGAATGAGACTGTTTTCTTATGTCCTTACACATGGGTATTTTGTTGCTGTAATAGTAATTTCTATTTCAGTTCAAACGAGAAAGATAAACAACACAATTACAAAGACTAAAAATATATTCCAAAGATCAACTTTTGTTAGCTAATCAATTCAAATATATGCATCATGGAAACAGTTATTAAAGAAGATTGATGCTAAAAGGAAGAAAAATTAAATTTAAGGGAGTTAGAATAGTTTTCTTACTATGTTTGACAAGGAAAGGCGTCTAGTACAATACAGTAGAGGATGTTTGGGGAACATCTGAGCCTCACATAAGACATAGAAATAAGTAAGACATGAATGATGGTATAGTGTCCTAAGGACACATCTCAGAAAAGGAGGATTTGATAGGAAGAGGATAGCAGTTTTACAAGCTGCTCCAAAAAAGTTCCTACTAAGTGTGACTGTAAAAACATATTGGACTTGTAAATCCAATTAGACTGGAAAATTTGTAAAACCTGTAACGTATGTGCCACATGCAGTGAGATCTGCTGGAAAAAAAAAAAAAAAGGAAAAGCCAGAGACCAGTTCCTGTGGCAGATCGACTTTAAAAGACAAAGATATCAAAAATTAATCAAACACCTTCTGTCTGAAAGGTTCAAAAAAAAAAAAAAAAAGTATGAGAAAAAATCCTGCAGGAAATCTGGGCTCCCTGTATAGCCCTTCAGGACTGGCAGGAGTGTAAGAATGGCAGCCACCAGTCAGCACATTGATGAGCCTGAGCTCATCAAGAAAATGGATCTCGCAGGATCTTAGAAGCCTAGGCAACGTTCACATTTATGAATGTTTTCCTGGTATTACCTACCTATACACTCTTTTTTACTCTTTCAAAAATGGAAAAGCATTCACTCTATCAAAACTCTCTGTTGGAAGAGATATGTTTTGTTGTTAGTTGTTTCTTTTGCTGAGACTTTTTTCTCCAATACTGTTCATCCAGAACAAGCAAGAATTCAGTTCAAATTCCATCTTTTTTTAAGAAAAGTTTGAAAACTGGGTTTGAAAGCACAAGAGGGAAGAGTTTCACTTCCCTCCCCAGGTGTACTAGATGATGTAAATATGTGAAGTTTCAAAGGGGACAAGGGGATAACATAATAAAATATGGCCAGAAAGTAATTATTAGCTCTAAGACAAAATAAAATAAACAGGCTTATATCTACACTCTTTAAACTTAACTCTCTGTAGAGCACTTGGTCATGGGTTTCACCTGAATCTGGTTTGGTGCCCCTGTGACTCTGAAGACGTATTCTTCATTCTTCATATTCTTCAACAATTTCTGGGGTTTTTTTCTTTTTTTTTTTTCAGTTAAAGAAATCTAAAATAATTTGAGCACTGTCTGATGGCACCTATTGCACCTCTGGAGGTATTGCATGAGAACATTTTAGAGGTCTGATCAGAGTCTGCTGGAATACTTTTAGAGAAATGCAAAGTGTGGAAAAAGCTAAAATAAGATCACGCAACTCTCCTGAGGGGACTTGTCCTTGGAGTAAGCTGTGTCTGAATTGTGGACAGGTATTATTTTAGAAAAAGTTGGCTGACTGGTCCAAAACGGACTCTGGGAGCAAATGAACAAATGAATAGTAT